GGAAATGAGTTGGCCTCTATCTTGGTATTCCGAGGGTTGGTGCTGTTGAAGAAATGGCTGCCCCAACACCACACGAAAAACAGGTCAGAAACTGCCTGGAAACCCGAGTGGGAAATCTAAGAATAAAGAGAAACACCCTTAATGATCTGTGATAAATTGTGTATGTTTGCGCAGAGCAGTTACTAAGGGACACACGAATACATCTATTTCTTAACTTTCAATTTACTTATGAGTATTTGAGAGATATTTCATGTTTTGGGTGACTTTTTGTTGTTGTTGTTGAATCTGAGTCTCACTCTGTAGCCCAGGCTGGAGTGCAGTGGCATGCTCACGGCCACCGCAGCCTCGACCTACTGGGCTCAGGTAATCCTTCCACCTCAGCCTCCCAAGCAGTTGGAACTACAGGCAGGCGCCACCATGCCTGACTATTTTTTTTCTTTTATTGTAGAGACGAGGTCTCGCCAAGTTGCCCATGCTTGTCTACAACCTCTGGGATCAGGCAATTGTCTCACCTCCGCCTCCCAAAGTGCTGAGAATACAGGTATGAGCCACGGACCAGGCTTATTGGTGACTTTAATCTCATTTTCTTTTAACTGAATGTTCATATTCTCTTCTTTTTTGTTATCGTTAGGGGTTTTTGTTTGTTTGTTTTTGAATCAGGGTCTCACTCTGTTGCCAGGCTGGAGTGCAGTGGCATGATTATGGCTTATCACAGTCTCGACTTCCTGGGACCAGGTGATCCTTCCACCTCAGCTCCCAGAGTAACTGGGACTACAGGTGTGAGCCACCATGCCCGACTAAGTTTTTAGTTTTTTTGTGAAGACAAGGTCTTGCTATGTTGCCCAGGCTAGCCTCAAGCTCCTGGGCTCAAGTAATCCTCTCATCTTGGCCTCCCAAAGTGCTGGGATTACAGGAGTGAGCCACCCCGCCTGACCGCTTTTCCCATTTTTAAATTGAATTTATCTGTAAGAGCTCTTTGCATATGAAGAAAATTAGTGTGGTGTGGTGATGTGTACCTGTAGATACTCAGGAGGCTGAAGCGGGAATAACCTCATCTCTTAAGAAAGAGAGAGAGAGAAAGAGAAAGAAAGAAAATTATCTCTTTGCCACAGAAAGTGATACTATTTTTCTCAGTTTGTTATTTGTTTTCTGCTGGTTTATTAAAGGTAGACATTTGACATTTTTATGCACAGCCAAATGTGTTAATCTCGTCTCTTTATAGTTTCTGAGTTTTGTGTTAGTGCTCTGCACCACTCCAAAGATTAATTGAAATTCACCTGCTTTCCACTAATTAACATTTTTAATCCAGATCTAAAGATGCAAAATGAAGTTCAGCTAGTGAGTCCTACCATCCAGTAGGTGCACCCTGGTAGCAGCTTAGTTTATTCGCCCAAACTGACCACATGCGAACAGCACCACCTCCAGGCCAGCCAGAGAAATCTGTACTAAGTTCCTCCAGTGGTCAGTATTTCTAAAGAAAGTCCACAAAATGACTAAGGATAATGACTGTTTGGGATGACATTGTACTTTTTTTTTTAAAAGGTTTGTCACACATATTTAGCTGGGCACAGTGGCTCACACCTGTAATCCTAGCACTTTGGAAGGCAGAGGCGAAAAGATTGTCTAAGCCCACTGGTTCGAGATCAGCTTGGGCAACCTGGTGAATCCTCCCTCGTCTCTAAAAAATAAAAAAAATTTTTAAAAAAGGCTTGTTTCTCCACTTGTCCATCTTTGCCTGGAATGGAAATTTGCACATAAGGGAAAAGATTGGTTGGAGAGGATGCACAGTTGGCACTTTCCGGCAGCCCAAGAGTTAATTTACCTCTGTCCTATCTCAAGTCCACTCTCACCCACAAGACCCTAGCTTGTCACTGGACAGTCCTAGAGCCATCTCTTCCCTGTGCCTGATTCTGGGAAGCTGGTATTGACCAATGTCAACTCTTCTAAGTGAGACAGAGAGCAAGTCTCATTTAAGACAATCTGTGGCATAATGGCCTACTGAGAAAGGCCCTGGTACGCAAGCCAGTACCCTAAGATCAGCGCAGGACAGCAAGGCAAGCCTAGAAATACAGCTAAGTGCTCCTGCAAGTGATTCCTTTCTCCATTGGCCAATCCATAGGGATGAGAGAGGCTCTGTTCTACCAGGAAACATTTTGCTATGTTGCCCAGGCTAGCCTCAAACTCCTGGGCTCAATTAATTCTTCAGAGAAGTACTCTGGCTAACTTAAGCCCAAGGAGCTTACAGAAAGATTGTCAGGGAACTGAGAGTAGACGGGAGCTGAAGGATCAGGCTGAGAAGAGTTGGGAACCAAGAAACAAAGAGAAAGCCTCAAGAACCACAGTGAAAATCTCTTAGCAGAAACAGTGCAACCTGCTCACCCCATGACCTAAGGTGATATTACAGCTATCTCTGCTTCCCTGTCTTTTTCATGCACATGTCCAAGTGCAAGGAAAGAGCATTTGACTAGCTTTCTTGCTCAGCATCTAAAAACAAGTAGTGACATCGTTTTTGTCTGTCCAGCTTTTCCTAATAGGCCTCCGTTCTCCAGAGTGGTGAATATGCCTTTGTGCGGGCTATTGGTGAGAAAAGCTAGGAGCCAGATCCAGCCTCCTCTTGCCCTAGTGCATCTATGGAGTACACATGTGATTTAGACTCAGTCAGTCAAACGCTCTTTCCTTGCACTTGGACATGTGCGTGAGAAAGTTC